GAACCTCTTATTGTAAGGATCTGACTATGCGTATCAGGACCCCGAAAGAACCATGAGCAGGGTCTTCATACATGTTCACGGCAGCCCGATCCAGGGTGTCCGTGCACACCACTATTATGGAACTAGTCGACTAAAGCCATAATGGGGGATGGCCGTTTTGGGCCAAACTCCATACGGTTGAAAATACAAATCTTGCATTACCCACAATAATAGGAACATAGACCATACTTCCCACAGCTCAGGGTCCTTAAGGTAATGCAATTTATATCATCAACAGTATGTAGGGGGTATATGGAGACCCTTTCCTTTGTCATAACCCTGAAGCGTACGGAGTTCCTCCAATGAAATCATGGAAACCCCTTAATTGGGTTCAGGGTTTAGGGCTTAGGGTTTTAGGGTTAGGGGTTTAGGGCACTTTCCGACAAGTCCACCTAAGAAAAACATCACCGCCTTGTAAAGCCCATTTGGGATTCGGGGGTGCAGGAGCAACAGCGACAGCAAGAGCAGGAGCAGGAGCAAGAGCAGTGACAGTACGTAGAGCTAAAGACCCCGCCGAATATTCAACAAACTTCTTGAGCTTTTATTGACGGAGAGGATTTCTGTGATGTGGAAACCCCACCTAATGCTCAACAAACTTGTTGAAATTTTATTGAGGGAGAGGGTTTCTGCGATGTGCAACTGAGAAGATGGCTTCGTACTCAGGAGCTTTCAAACCGATATCCGAACTCCAGACCGAAAGCCGTTCAACCCTCAACCCTAAATCCTAACAACGTAATGACTCAACCTCAAAACCCTAAACAACAAAAATCCTAACACCCTCAGCCCTGAGATCGAATCTAACACCCTAATGACTCAACCCTAAACCCTAGAAACACCCTCACAACCCCACGACTCCTAGTCCAGGCCGCACATGATGACTGCGTCCGGCTTGTTGAGGACTTCCAAGCGAATCTGCTCATCACGGACCTCGCAGGAAGGAGGTTTAGGGCCTTAGGGGCCCTAAACCCTAAACCCGAAACCCTAAACCCTAAGCCCTAAACCCGAAACCCGAAGCCCTAAACCCGAAACCCTAAACCCGAAACCCTGAACCCTAAAACGCTAAGGAGTTCCGGGGTTTAGGGGTACAGCTCTTCCTCGCTTGGGGGACTTTGCAGATGGGGGTCGGCGTCTAAGGATTATGATAAAGGTTGTTCAGTACACTTGCATGGCTTCAAGCCCAACGTTGTCCTAGGATTCCGTATGAGATTGGTTTGGGTGTAGTGTAGGGCTTAAGGTTTAAAGGGGCTTGGGTTTGGGCTTCAGAGAGTTCGGGCTTGTTTTTGCCGACAATCGCACAATCGGCGCCGCGTGCGACATGGAAGCTCAAGCACAGGTAAGCCGCTCTTCCTAAACCCTAAACCTTAAATCCAGTGTTGGTAAAAGACATCTGAGGTCTGGAGTTGTCTCCATCCATGGCATCCGACCTGCAGACGCACTGCTGTGGCTTTAGATGCCGCTGAAACCCTAAGCCCAATTAAATCATAAACCCTAAACCCTCAAATCCCTAAACCCCTGAACCTCTAAAGCCTTAAACCCCCTAAACCCCTAATAAACCATAAACCCTAAACCCTAAAACCCTGGATCCCCAAACCCTAATCAAACCCTAAACCCTAGTCCAGTTGTCCCAACGGCCTCAAGCCCACAGAACCATCACTCCTAAACCCTGAAATTTCACAGACCAAACCCCTAAACCCGGAAGCCCCGAGCCCTAAACACCTAAACCATCAGGGACCATAACTCCTAAACCTTTATAGTTTATAGACTAAGTCCCTAAAGCCCAGAACTGGCGCCTCGACAAGGAAGGTGTCCATGTCAGCCTTTTGCTGCGCTTGCAGCGCGATGTCGTACTGGTCCTGCAAGGTTTCGAGATTCCCCGAAACCCTAAACCCTAAACCCTAAACCAAAGCTAAGGGTCTAGGCAGTTTAGGGTGTCTAGACCCCTAAACCCTAAACCCTAGATAAGGGTCTAGGCAGTTTAGTGTTGAGGGTCTAGGTGGTTTGGGGTTTAGGGTCTAGGCAGTTTAGTGTTGAGGGTCTCGGAGGTTTGGGGGTGTAGGGTCTAGGTAGTTTAGGGTTTAGGGTCTAGGTAGTCTATGGTTTAGGGTCTAGGTAGTTTATGGTTTAGGGTCTAGGTAGTTTAGAATTTAGGGTCTAGGTAGTTGGTGACACGTGCACCAAGCGCCGAATTTCTGAATAATTTTGCTGTGTTTCCATGATTCAATGATCGGGGGGGGGCATAATAACGTCTCTGGGCTTGCATCCTGTCACAACTTTCCGCCCAAAGCTTTGCCTTCTTGCTTGCCATGTCAGGGGTCGCCCTAGGCCTTCACTAATGATTAGACTGAACCTCGCCTCGAACCGTATAGAAAGTAAGATAGTCATGCTAAGTACTGCTTACTGTCCGTTCCCTCCTAACACTAAATAAATCTTGCCCGCAACCCGTACAAGGTAAGGTAATCATGTTAAGTATTGTCTACTGAATCTACTGCCCGTTCCCTACTACTCGTACACAAAACCTGCCCAGATGCCATAGACAGTAAGATAGATAAGCATGTTAAGTATTGCCTACTGCCCGTTCCCTACTACCCGTAAATAAAGCTTGCTCAGAAGCCATGAGCAGTAAGATAGTCATGCTAAGTATTTCCTACAGCTCGTTTACAGAAGCCATAGCAAGTAAGCTAATCGTTTTGATTAAGTATTTACTGCAGCCCGCTCCTTACCAGACTGAAACCTCCAACCCATTGCATGGCAAGCAAAATTGCACACAAACCTGCAAACGCAGAAATGTCTATATAGAAATGAATAGTTCCGGCTCTTGCGCAAGCGACTTTTTCCTAGAAATCGTACAAAACCCGTGGAATAAGCAAACTCTAACCCAGGAAAGTCGCACGGCACCTGATGCACGTGTGACCTAGTTAGGTAGGTTAAGGGCTAGGGTCTAAGTAGTTTAAGGTGTAGAGTCTAGGTGGTTTTGGGGTTAGTGCCTAGGTAGTTTAGCATTTAGGGTCTGGGTAGTTTGGGGGTTAAGGTCTGGGTAGTTTAGGGGCTAGGGTCCAGGTAGTTTAAGGGTTAGGGTCTTGGCACTTTAAAGGTTAGCGTCTAGGCTGCGCCTTCTTGTGCAGTCGCTCCAGGAGACCTTTGTCCAAGTTCTCCGGGTTGTTGCTGTAAACATTCGGGAGACTGCGCTGGTGGGGTAGCAGTTAACTGCGGCAACAATCTCCTGCTTGGGTTTCGCCGCTGATGTTCTGCCCGACATTACCCACGATGCCTGCATCGTTGATGACGATGCGGTCATCTTTCCTGGCCCTACCCATGGGCTCCTGAGTAGTTCCTTTTTGGGATTACCGTCCAGGATTCTAAACATGAACCATAAAAAAGAACTACTGAGGAGCCTATGCATAACCTCTCCGTCTCCAGACACCTCGCCATACACCGACGGGTTCTCCTCACCATAGCCCTAAACCCTAAACCCTAAACCCGGTGTGGCGTACCCCAGCTTCTTACGCTTTGGAGGCTCGTCATCATGATCCGCCTCGGGTGGATCCTCCTTGGAGCCGGCGTGGGTGTAGGGTTTTAGGGTCTAGGTAGTTTAGGGGTTGGGGTGTAGGTAAGGGTGTAGGGTCTAGGTAGCTAAGGGTGTAGGGTCTAGGCAGTTCAGGGTCGAGGTAGAGTAGGGTGTAGGGTCTAGGTAGTTTAGGGTCCATAAGGGTCTCGGTAGTTTATGGGTTTATGGTTTAAGGTTTAGGGCTTCGTGCATTCCAGATTCTCCGGATCTAGGACGTAGGGTGTTGGGGTTCATGCTACGGGGCTATGGGGCTTAGGGACGTGGCCAAGTGCCAAGGGCGTGGGAAGTAGAACTGTGTAAGTTCGCCCTCAACCCTAAACCCCTAACCCTAAAGCTCCGCCACCCTACTCCCTCAATCGCACACTCTCTATAACAAAACTAAGCATTATACCGCACTTGTTTCGTGCAGATCGTCGCGACGTCCTGGGGTTGAGGGCTTCAGTCGATGGCCTTTGGAGAAGGTGTGCCCTTCAAGAGCTCGAGATCCCTGCGGCTTAGGGTTTAGGGTTTAGGGCTTTAGGGTTTTAGGGCTTAGACTTTAGGGTTTAGGTCTCTTGGTGCCAGTCCGTAAGGGCGGCCTCCAGTAAGGCTTTTCACAAGCTAGGGTCTCCCGGCCCCCCCAGCCGAGCGTGAAACCAAAAGGACACCGTTCGTTTGATAGGGCCAGGGCACCGCGGAGTCGTGAAAGGTGCCTTCGACCACCAAGACCAGGTAGGGCATGGAGCCCACCCTAGTCAAGACTTCGAAGAGGGCTTTAGAGCTATTCAGTAAGGGCTATCGGGATCTTGTTGTACAATATTCCGACCTCTGTGTTCGTGCTTGGAGGGCTGAGGCTCAAGGGCTTGGCGAAGACTTAAGACGTGGAGGCCCAGGTCTAGGGCAACTCACAGTCACAGGTCCTTGCTGTTTGTAAGTTTTAGGGTTTGGGATTTGGGGTTTAAGGATGCCCACAGAACGAAACCGATCATTTAGGCCAGGAATCTTCGTCCATGTTATCGCAAACTCCATGCTGGGTGTGCACTCCCCTCCGTGCCTTTGCAGGGAAGAAACGGCTTGACCCTCTCTGCAAGGCTCGATGGTGACCTCCAGAGGAGCTTTGGAACATTTGAGCCACGATGTTTGCGGCTCAGACTTTTAGGGTCAAGGGCTCCTACGTGTTGCGGGAACGGAGAGCAAGGAATATCAAGCCATATTGGCGCTTGGGTTCTGGAATTCGAGCCGTCGGAATGACCGCCGACATTCTAACTCAATTCAAAGTTGGGATGCAGAACAGAGGGTACCTAATAACTAGAATAGGGCTTTGAAACATCATGGCATCATCATACAGGGACTATACAGGCCCATTCCTGCTCTGCTTTTTGGGAAGGCCAAGGCCCCCTGGTCCAACTTTCCGGGCCTGCGTGTGGAGCACGTGCGACTTGTCTTGGGCCGGCAGGCTCTCGAACCACGGCGTATGCCGAAGGGTCAGCCCGACCTACTCTTGCGGACAGCCCCAAAAAAAACCGAAATATCGAGAGTTTCAGGCACACCGACAGCCCTTGTACAAGAACATACCGTGCAGCGAAAAAGATGGCAAAGTAGGCTTGTCGGCTTCACGGTTGGGGTTTTACAGCTTTGGGAGTCAAGGAGGCGACCCTTCCCACAAGTACTAGTTACTAGTACTAGAGTACTAGCACTGGTGCTCCTACTTGCACTTGTATCTAGTACTGGTACTAGCACCGGCGTTAGTATATGAATGATGGGGGCTGGTTTGGTGAGGCCGAGCTCTGCAGCTTGGTCGCGTATGCCCTTTCAAGCAGCTGGGCCACATCCCCCTCACCTCCAGCAGAGAAGAGTGTAGGGGGGCAGGGGTTTAGGGAAAAAGGCTTTAGGGGTGTGTGGTATAGGGGTTTTGTAGCCTGTTGGAGCCTCTGAAGCTAGGATTGATCTGTCATCCCTACAAGAGCTCTTGGCGGTCTTGCGGGCGGACACGGGGCTCCTGAACATCCCGCCTAGAAGAGATGCCAGCTTGTCGATCAGCACGCAGACCACGTCGCAGTCAGTTGCAGCAACCAGGTTTACCTGGCACCAGGGATTTCGGTTTCAGCGTCCAAGAAAGGAGGGTGTCGATGCGGTAGTCGTTGCAATCGCCGTCGCCGTCGATTCATCAGCAGCCGTAGCAGCTACATTAGTAGTAGTCGTCTTCGTTGTCGTAGTGGCAGTGGTGGTAGTAGTAGCGGAAGCAGTAGTGGTAGCCAGTGGTAGTAGCACTAGCAGTCGTCGTCATGGCTACTAACGAATTTTACCAGTCGTCGTCGTCATCGCCGCCGCCGCCGGCGTCGTCGTCGTCGTCGTCGTCGGCGTCGTCGGCGTCGTAGTCGTCGTAGTAGTCGTCGTCGTCGTAGTCGTAACTAGAATCAGCAGCAGCAGGCGGGGAAGCGACAGCCGTCATAGCAGCAGCAGCCGCCGTCTTCGTCATGATAGAAGCCCAAACGGTAATCACGATCAAAATCTAACAGGCTGGTCTCTGCAACCATACCTCAGGTGGACCCTTGCGAGATACGAGCCCAAAGTGAGTTATCCAACCGAAGTCAGAGCACCGACACCTTCAGGATTCCATGGTTGGTGCGCCTTTTTTATGGGGTCGGGCGATGAGGACGCTCGGCACGAACTCGGGGCTCGAATTTCAGCAGTGAAAGCCCTGACACCCTCCACACTTGGCGGTGAAAGGACATCCGAGCTTCAACTCCCAATCCCCCAAATCCCGCTCCTCAATCCTCTTGGAGGCATCGATCTTGAGATACTGCTCGCCGAAGCAGCCGCCTGCACACACCTGTGCATGAGGGAGCAGAACGCAAAACGGACCCTGCAGCCTAGATACACCGTGTACCACAACTTCAGCCATGAGACTGATCCCGAAAGCCCGGCCCAAATCCAAGCTCAGAGCGTTATTATCCCGCTTGAATACCAGCAACAGATTACACATGTCGGGCCTCGCGGACCTTGTCGCCCCCGGACAGCTTCTTGCCAATCCGCTCGCCACCATCCACGACGCTTAGGGTGCCCTTCTTCACCTGAAAACTGGGGGGTCCCTCACGGCTGTAGGGTTCAGTGTTTGGGGCTGGATTCGGGAGGTCGGTGCGGTCATGCCAATTGAGCTCGGTCGAGACTACGCTGCACCGGCCCACTGTTTCCGAACCAACTCCGGAGAATCTGCAAAAAGGGGGGCAACATGGGGCTATGTTTCGGGTTTACGGGCTAGGGTCTAGGGTTCAGTTTTTCAGAGCTTCCATCTGCAAAGCCTGTCCAAGTCTGAGCCCGGCACAACCCACAGCCGCTTGCACTCCTCCCCGGACTCCGCCACCACCGACCCTGCTGTGAAGGTTTCGTTGAGCAGCGCTACCTCGTCAGTATCAAGGAGTTCATAAGGTGTAATCTGGCAAGAGGCCTTTGCGGTTTATGGATCCATGGAAGGGGAAGTCTACATCTATCGCGGTATTAGTCGACATCGCGCTAGAGCTGGTAGCTGGCGGCGTAGTAAAACAACTGCTACTACTACAACTTCTACCTGTTTGAGCAACACACAGGTTTGTGCCAAAATGGCGACGGCTGCTCCTCCTACCACTACCACTACCACCACCACTACCACTGCCACTGCCACTGCCACTGCCGCTGCCACTGCCACTGCCACTACCACGACAACCACCACTACCACCACCACCACCACCACGACCACTACCACCACTACTACTACTACTACTACTACTACTACTACTCCTGCTGCTACTGCTACTACTACTACTACTACTACTCCTGCTACTACTCCTGCTACTACTACTACTACTACTACT